CGAGTCTGGGAGAGCTTTTTCCTGAGGTTGTCTTGAGTGAGGTGTAGACAGCGGGCTAGGGTGGAGGAGGGTCAGAGTGCCGAGTCTGGGAGAACTTTTTCCTGAGGTTGTGTGGTGATGAGAAGTGATGTCTGTGTGAGCAGCAAGGGGAAACTAGTAAATTGCCTCCCACAAACCAGGCCAGCTGCCTCTGAAATACAGCAACACGCAGCCTCAGAAAAGGCTTTAAAAATTATTTCTCAAGACCCAACGAATGCAAATCAGAGGCTCTGTGGAGAGGGAGGTTACATCCCACAGCAAGAAGAAAGTCACGGAGGCTCAGCACCTCTGGCTGGTCCAGCTTGTGGAAATTACCGAGTCATGTAAGTGGAAGAGTTCCAACAACTTTATCAGGGAGCCATCTTGTTCCCTTACTCTTTCAGCCCAGAAATCAGGCTCTGTGGAGACCCAAAAGTAGCTGGACTGTGGGAAGAACCCACTCCTCCTAGTTGTAAAAATTCCGCTCTGATGAGTCAAGATTTGAGCTTTTAGGATGTTGGGATAACAGGTGAAGTCAAAGTCCCGAAGCTTTTTTCTTTCTTGCCATTTGAGTCAACAGCATGTGGACAGGTGCCCGACTCCCTGGTTTCTTTTGAATCTGCAGATCTACCCCTGCGTGTTCCTACTGTGCTCTGAAGTCACCTGCATCTACTGAGGGTGAATACCTGCTTGGCAGCTAGACAAGAATGATGTCCTCCCTCTCTGTGGAAGAAGAACCATCCTCAAAGCCAATGGCTGTGTGCTGTCCCTGACACACCCACTGCTTTCTCCATGCAGAAGTGACTTGTCCCCTGATGAGTCCCTCGGCCACTCCTTATAACATGGTTTGTTTCATCAGTTGGGACCTCACACCCACTAAAACTGCCAGGCTCATTCCTGAGTGAACCACACACTATAGGAGAAGTCTAAACCCATCTGTACCCCATCACTTTGGGACATCTTCAAGTCATCAGAATTACATTCTAAACATTCCATTGTGAGCAGGTAATTACACATGCTCACATGCACACACACAAACACATAAAAACACACCACATGCATACACACACACACATACACACACACACACACACACACACACACACCTTCCTCAACCCCATGCAACAGCACAACAGCTATTCCATGAACAATACTGCAAATGATCTTCGGTGTTCTTTTTCTAAAGGGGCAACAATTGGGAACCTGTGAAATAACTCATTAGACTCATTAGAATTTTCTTCACAGCTTTTTCATCCCAAATTTTGTGGCCCACAAAGCCAGCCTTTTCTTTTCTTAATGACAGTATTGGAGTTGCATAAATTGTCTTTCTTTCTCCGCTGGCTGGACTCTATGGACAACTGTCCTCACCAAGCCCATTCCATCAGGTGGAAAGAGAATGGGATAATGCTCTTGATACCGCTCTGGAGGTGACAGACATCAATAAGATCAGTCAAGCAGCAACGGGGAGGGAGAGAGCCTGAGCCACAGACCAAGGAGCACAGGCTGCGTGAGGCCAAGCTGAGGCTGAAGGAAGTCACAGCAATGGTGACAGAGCCATGGCACTTGTGGAAACATGGACCAGCTCATGAATGTCTTGAGCAAGACCTCACCCTGCCGCCATCAGTCTGTGCTCACACACGCCATGCTCATGGGACTGGGCATGTCTCACAAGAGAGGCCTCCTCAGTCCTGTCCCTGTGACCAGTGTTACACATTTGGCAGCCTTTATGAACTCTTGAGTCTGGTTTTCAAAAACTTCTATCTCTGCCGAGTAAAGGTCTCCCTGATTCAAATCTTCTTCTGATACCCCTCCCTCCCTCCCCACTCCATCTCTCCCCTTCTCTCCTCCTGCCACCCCCACATTGTGTGTGTGGTGTGCATGTATGTGTGAGTGTGTGTGTGTGCATGTCCACGAGTATGTGTGTGTATGTGTGTGGTGTGCATGTATGTGTGTGTGTGTGTTCCTGGTATGTATGTGCCACCATGGGCATGTGAGGTCAGAGGGCAACCTCCACACAAAGTTTCTCCTTTGTCCCAGCGTGCACAGGTTAGCTGGCCCACGGGGGCTCTCCTGCCCCCATCTCTCATCAGGGGCACAGGACTGCAGCTTTGCTACCGTACCTGTGGGTCCTGAGGACCCAGACTCAGCCCCCACATGCATACAGCAAGCACTGTACCCACTGGGTCCCCTCCCCCTCCCCCAACCTTGTATTTAATGCTTCCCCAGATCAGGATAGCGTCTTGTTAACTTTTTATCAACTCAAACACTAACTAACACTGCCTGGGAAGATGCGTTTTCACTGAGGAATCGCCTCCGTCAGACTGACCATGGGCGTGTCTGTGGGGAGCATTTTCCTGACTAATGATTTCCAGCGAGGGCCCAGTCCACTGTGGGTGGTGCTGTCACTGAACTGGTGGTCCTGGGCTGTACAAAACAAGCAGGCTGGGCAGGCCTGGGAGCCCAGTCAGCAAGAGAAACACCCCCCAGAGCCTCTGCTTCAGCTCCTGCCCCCAGGCTCCTGCTCGACTTCCTGTCCTGGCTTCCTTGATGACGGACTGTGGTGTGGAAGTGTGAGCCGAATAAACCATTTACTCCCCAAGTTTGTTTTCGGTCATGGTGTTTCATCACAGCATCAGAAAGCAAACCAGTGATGAAACAGAAATGGCTTCACGTTTCTGGCAATTCCCACGGAGTTCAGTAATTCTCCTAAGCACCCAAAGACGAGATGTCCAATGTCATCTGTGCCTGTGGCTTTTATTTCTCCATGTGATATCAGTGTCATCAGTAACCACCCATTTCTACTAAGCGGCACACAGCGTAACTGATGACATCTGCTGGAACCAATATTTTAAGTGAAGGTTAGTCTCACACAGCAGCCACACTGAGGTACCAAGTAGGACCCCCAGCGGCACCCTTGAGCATCGGAGATTTGGGGAGAAGGGTCATCTCAGCAGATCTAAGTTGCTAAGCACACAGAACAGGTCAGAGCAGCATTCACACCAGAGGCAAAACCCTGGGCAGGAGGTTTTATCCTAGGTAGGTTTAAATGCTATGCTTCCCTCGGGACTCAAAATCCCTGTGTGACCATCAGAGCAATGGGAGTAGTTATTTATATATCCAGATGGCAAATGGCACTTGCCTTCATATATTCCCTTCTCTTTCATGCATTAGCAAAAGCAAATGGGTCTTCCCTTCAAGGAATTTTCATCTGTCTGAACGATCTAGGAAGGAGGAAATCTAACGGTTACTAGGGTCCTTGGAGAACAAGAGCCTATGTGTGCACAAAGCAGGACCCTCACAGCTGGGCTGTTGTCACAATCAAGAGCCTGAAGCAGATGTCCTCAGAGGGACTCACTCGCCACACACAAGCAAGGGAAGTGTCACTCTGCATCGTGAGTATCCTTCATAAATGAAGGCTTAATCTTCTAAGAATGGGGCTTGAGTTAGCGTAAGTGACCAGCGCCTTCATATATGCTACCGTGAACTGCTGGGGTGACTTAGTGGCCGGCTAACACACGTGCACACCAGGAAAAGCCTCCAAAGGAAAGCTCTCTGCACACGCCCTTCCTCCTTCCCTAGGACACACAGAGCCGGGAGACCCTGCCGCAGTTCTCCGCACGGCCATACGCCCTTTCCCGCACACACCTGCGCTGTGGTCATTAACACACCCCACTGAAGCCATGGCCGCTCTTTCTCCTCACTCTGAGCAGCTCCGGCAGGCACTCACCATGGTTCACTGGCTTCGCGACTGTGCAAACCGTTACAAGCTCAATAAATTTTCCAGGTGGGTAGAAAAATGGATGGGTAAAGGCTTGCAGGAGCAAACAAACAAAATGTTGCACTACGTTTATGGTTTGGGATAGACACCCATGAAAACATGAACGCCAGTGTTCCTGGTGAGAAAAAGCAGAGTCTCAGAGGAAATAACCGAAGCGAAGCCAGTACTCAGAATTGTGAGCCCTGGGAAACAAGCACGGTAGACGGTGTCACCTCTGAGCTTCAAGCTTAATGGTACATGCCTATCCACAACACAATTCAGCATCATCTCAGTAGGGATGTCTGTGCCAAGAGCCACCAAAAATGGAACAGCAGTTAAAAGTAGGCCCTCGCTATGTCCTAGAGACTCACACAAGGACACAGTGACCTACATCAGCCCCCATGGAAAGTTCCATGCCTGCTAGGATGACTGGGAAGGACTCAAGGAGACAACCACCAGTCCGCAAGTAGGCATTGCAACACCTTCTACTTAGAAACTACCAAGGATGGTGCTTGGCCAGATGGCCCGGGGAGAAATGCACTTCCTACCAAGCCTGATGAGCTGAGTGTGATACTTAATCCCACAAGACAGAAGGAGGACTCCAGCTCCTGAAAGTTGTCTCTGATCTTCACATGTGTGTGTGTGTATGTGTGTGTTCCTGTACACACACACACACACACACACACTGACTACATTGTTTTTGAAAATTAAAGCCATAAAAAGATGCATTTAACAACTGATTTTAAGTACCCCTGAACACCTCCAAGGTTCATTCCTTTTCCCTCATTGAAAGGAAGAACATCTTTCAGCATATTACATCCTATGAATAAAACTGCAGTAACAGCGTACAGCCAGCCCCACAGTTCATAAGCGTGATAATTTACTATTTTTTAAACAAAACCAATCAATGATTTCACTAGCTGACTTGATTTAAAAATTGTCTAGAAATAACCTCGGACAAATACCCAGTATGATACAATAATTTCTACTACCCCATTTAGTTCAGGACCCAAAGTCAATAAGAAAGATAGCCTCTGAAAAAGAGAGAGGGAGGGAGATGGGGAGAGGGGGAGGGAGAAAGGGGACGGAGGGAGGGAGAGGGGGAGGGAGGGAGTGGGGGAGGGAGGGAGAGGGGGAGAGAGGGAGGGAGAGGGGGAGGGAGGGAGGGGGCAAATGAGCCTGCATCTCCCATGGGGTGTGCGGCTAGACATGATGCTTCCTTTACCTTGGTCGAAGGGCTTGTTGGGATTCCAGTTTCTGAAATACTCATCCTAGGAAAGAGAAGGAGAAACAAAGTCAGCTTCTCAGGTAAAAACCGCCTTGTCCCGTTTCCCAAAACACAAGGAAGAACCTCACAGCTTACGAATCTTCCCCCCAAACAAGCATTAGAATGCAATAAAAAAATGTCAATTTACTTCTCCAATTCTCACCTTTCAAACTGTACGCACTAAACACCGGGAGTTATAAAAACATCTCAGCCTGATATGGAAACAGCTCTGCTCATCTTGGTTTGACATATAAGCCCAGACATCTCCTAAGTGTGAGGTGCATTTGCTATCAATTATACTGTAGGTGATGCCTGGGCACTCTCACTTATGATTAAGCCCCTGTGTTTGTAACAGCTGATAATTTAACTGTCAGCATTTCTTTTACATGGAGACACATATCTTGTGGTGAGCATTTCCAGTTTCCCAACACGTACAGAGCCTAAAAAACCAGAGAGCCATTCAAATGTCTCAACACCCCTGGGGTGTGTGCTTAGCTTCATGTCTTTTGTTTTAGGGATGGAAGGGGGTGGGAAGTCAGGTCCTCTCTGCTCTTCTTACAGCCACGCTTGCCGTCTGAGTCAAGCATGGGCCATGGTGGGCACTTCGTTACTTTGAAAATGCAAGAAACCATCCTGCTCAGCTCTTCAGGGTCCTATTAACCTCTTCTTACTTCTAGCAACCCCTCCCTTCCAAACAAGTCCCATTGGCTTCACCCTTACACACACACACACACACACACACACACACACACACACACACACACACACCCTGCAAGCTCCAAAAGCTACACTGTCCCACATCACACCACACCTCCTTTAGGGAATTTCACCCTTTTCAGCTGATAGGCAGTTTGTTAACTATGTGGTTTGGGGCAGGTACTCCACACATCGCAGATACCTTCAAAAAAAACGCTGACTGAAACAAGCCCCCGATTTCCCTTCTGAAGAAGTTAATTTACATCAAAGTGTACAATTAGTCTAAACCTTTTGTCCTCACTGTCCCATGCCGCAGTCCATCTCCCCCACATAATCTCCCGTGGATTTCACTGGCCACCGCCTCCTCGTCCAATTATCTGACTCTATTAGATCCCTGTTGTGGTCACCCCAACCCTCAACCGGATTTTAGGAAGCTTGATTTACAGTTAAATCAGAGCATATTGCTTCAAGGCCAGTGATTCCATTTTGCAGAGTGTGAATAAACATAAACAGCCTCCCCTGATCCCAGGGGCGCGGCACTAAGCTATTTTTAACACCACGAAACGGGTCCACTTTGCTTTACTTTTATGGCACCTGACTTGCGTGGAGATCTGTCCCATGAGCCATCACTGAGAAAGTCAAGAATAAGCTATCTGCAACGCCCCCACTCCACTTACTATTTTAAATGCAATCCAAATGTGGGGCAGTGTGCTATCCAAAAACTGAGAGTCAGTGGATAGTGATCTTAGGCAAAGGGCAGAAGTTGGCGGGGTGTTGCTTCTATCTGACGCTCAGTATCCTCTTAGCCTTAGACGATCCTGTTACCAGAGAGTGTACAGTTCATGAGAGACAGCAAAAGGTTCAGGCTGCCAACCAGCACACTCTTCCCATGGCAAGTGAACGGCGATAAGTCCACTGGCACTGGGAACCCTCTGAAATCTTTTCGCCTGAACACGCCACCCTAATCCAGGGAGCCCTGGAAGCTGTGGTTGTGTGTCCAAGGGAAGGGGCCGAGCCCAAGATAGGTTCCTTCACTTTCATTTCCCATCTCACATTCTCTTTGATGTCCACGAAACAGGTCCTGAGAACAGGACATCCCTAATGATTCTGCACACTTGAGAACCTGGATGGAATTTGAAGCATTCTTCTGGACCTTGTCACTTCGCAGGTTAACTCTAATTGCGATTTTTACATTTTTCTTTTGGGAGGAGAGCACGTTTTTAAATATAAAGCCTCTAAAAAGGCTGATGTCTGCCTCAGAATATTTAAAACCCACTGCAAATGTAATAATACTGCCTAATTACTGCAAATGTGGAAGCATACCTTGAATGAAAACTCGTTATGCAAAATAAGTCCTTCAAACAGTTCCTTGCCCAGGAAGGCCAAGTGGGATGGGGAATTATGCCCTGCATCTGATCGCTTTCCTCCACCAGAGGAAAGGTGATCACCAAAACACAGGCCAAGGAGCTGGGAGCTCACAAAGCTTTGGGTATTATGAATTTTACCGCAGCTGGTGGGAAACCCTCCACCAGAGGCCAAGATCGTGAGGTGCTCAATTCAACCCAGCCCATTTGGGGGAGGGGCAGCACGGAAGGGGTTTCTAGCTACCACATCTGCCAGGGTCAGGGCACGGGTGATCCCTATTCTAACATGAACAAGTGGCCCCGGAACAGCCCACACCAGCTCAGCTTCATCAGTCGATTCAGTCGAGGGAAAATTTTGATGAAGTAGTAGAATCTGCAAGGTGCGAAGAGCCAGGGATGGAGAGTGCCACCTAGAGACTTCCCCTGGGGACCCGCGGGCCCTCAAGTCCCACCTCACTAACCGTGGGCCCCCTGGAGGACTTAGGGACAACTGTCACTCCACCAATATCAGGGCTGGCGGCTTCTCTCAGGCTCAAGGCTCGGTTTGTACAGAGCCAGGCTTTTGTTTTCCATCTAAATGAAAGCGTGGGTGTTGCCGTCACTGTAGAATTCTCATCTGGCAGCAGGGCGCCTGTCCACACACCAGCCTGATGCTGCGTTGTGTAACAGTACATCCCTGCTGCCAGTAACTCAGAGCCCAGCCGCAATGCCAGAAGAGACCTGGACCCTAAGAGTCCTTATCTCTGACCATTGTTCTAGCCCAAGGAAGTTGATACCTGCTCAAATTCAGATAAGGTTGAAGGCACTGGATAGATGGGAGCTTGCCTGTGAGTCTGTCTAAGTGGGCCTCTTGACTAGAAAAAAAAACTTGCAAGGACCCAGGAACAGTTAATTTTCAAACATAAGCTTAAGTGGAAAAGTAAACATGTAAATACAGCCATTTATTAATCAGAGTTAATTGTTGATGGTACTATAGTACCAGATGAAGAATCAGAGACTAGTTAGTATTGTAGTACCAAATGAAGCATATTAATCAGACACTGGTTAGTACTGTAGTGCCATGCTATTATATCAACAGAGACAAAAATCATATTTCAACATTCATCTCATTAATTAAATAGCCCCAGAAACACAGTACTGGGCACTATAAAATGAATAGCTGTCTATAGCTGGTGCAAAGGAATTAAGTGAATTTTTAACTGTATTAGAGATATTGTGTTTTCATCTACACCTGTGAAAAGAAAATCTGTACACACATACAAACACACACGCACACACACATATACACATGCACAAATGTACACACACATACACACAAATACATATAAAGTTGTCTACAAATGCATTTTATATTACATGGTACATGCTATAAAATCTATTAACAAATGTATATATATTAGTTATATATGTAGCCTTATTGTGTATGGTGATGCACATAAATACATAGTCAGCTCTGTTAGGTGTCACTTCCACAGATCCAACCTGGCATCAAAAGTCTTGGGAAAACACCTGCATTTGCACTGAACACAACCAACTTTCATAATTATTCACCATACCATGTGGTCTACTTATTGCACAGCATTTACACTTTATTAATTATTATGTGTCATCCAGGGATGATGTAAGCTATGTGGGAAGACATGAGCAGGGTCTACACAAACACTGGGCAATTTATTTCGGAGATGTGAACATTTATAGATTTGGGGTTCTTGGGGTCCTGAAGCCGGGACATGAGCATTGCATTCTACTGTGGGTCTGCTACACAACGTTTGAAGTCTGCCTAAGGGGAAATAAGCCAAACCTCTACAGACTCTGGTGATCATGTCCCCTTGCCATGGATGGGCTTTCTATAGCACAAGTGAACATGATTTCTCATCCCTTGTACCACAGCCCCAGAATGGCTGACACAACTTAGCCCTAATGTTCTCTAAGGATTTCCCTTTCAGGAGGTTCCTATTTCGGCTACAGAGACTGTGAAGGCCAGCTCCAAGGGAAAGCTGGAGGCAGAGCCAAGCAAAAGCACCCAAGTGCTGTGGCTGTGGGAATGAAGATGAGGGGTAATCTACTGCACACAACAGCTTCAGATGCCACAGATCAAAGACACTGAGTGCATTCGAAACAGATAATTTCTCCCTCATACATACTTTAGCTAAACTGTTTGAACCCTGCAGATCCATCAGAAGATTACCTCAGACAATACAAATTACCAGCCTGGAAAATAAATGAGGGCCTCATTTATCTTGACCAGGGGTGAACAAGAGAGCGGTGAGCAGAGGAAGCAGGTTACAGAGAGGGCAGAAAAGTCACTGCAGGTTCTTCTGTGGGGCCGCTGTCAATCAACAGAGCAGAGGTGTGTCTGCCGCAGGGAAGTGGCATTTTTGGGTTGGTAGCTTTCCGGATGGAGGCTGACTCTGCTGAGCACACACCCGTGAAAGGACCCGTGAAGGACCAGAGTCAAACTTTCTGATGGTGACTCGACGCCAGGTGGCTCACCTCACTTTCACGCCTTTTGACTGGGTAGAGTAGCGGGGAGGTAGGTTGTTGGGATGAAGGTTTCCCTGAACCGACTAGTAGAACTTCCAGACCAGGCTTTTGTAAGGCCATCTACTGTTATAATAGGACACTCTCCTGTGACTTTAACGTTTGTACAGTTGAAATGTGATGGGGGATGTCCTTCTGCGGGCTGTAAATCTATGTTTCTCTTATTGGTTGATGAATAAAGCTTCTTTGGCCAATGAACAGGCAGGATTTAGCCAGGTGGGAAATCCCAATGGGGATAAAGAAAGGTAGGGGAGAGAGTCAGGGAGACACCATGTACCTACAAAGGAAGCAAGAGGCCTGGGCATCACCTGTAAGCCAAGACCACATAGAAATACACAGGTAAAGAATTAAGAGAGAGCTAGCGGATAAGAAACCTGAGCCATAGACCAAAAGTTTATAATTAATACAAGCCTCTGTGTGTTTATTTGGGACTAAATGGCTGCAGGACTGGGCGGCACAGAAACTTCCTTCTACAGAAATGCTTGCTAGTCAACCTACTATACGATGCAAAGCAGGCCATCTGTTGGGAAATGACACAGCCTCCCCAGCAGCCACCTCACCCCTGAGCTGTTTCCCTTCACCCCTCTAAAGCAGCAACATACTCTCCGTGGATATATTCTCTGCCAAGCTTGCCCTATACATCACCAAGGAATAGTCCTGGTGGGGAACCCTAGATGAAAGGGTCCAATTGACCACCCAGTCCAGATTGGGCGGTGAATTGAACCATCCTAAACATTACTCATGGGGCTTCGGTTGACCAGGGGCAGGAACTGTGTGTGCTGTAGGGCATTTAAGTGTACATATATGACCCCACCCCCACACAAAAATACTCACTCACACACACACACTTGAGCCTAGGTGCCTTCTGAGCTGAGATAGTCTTACCTGCATATTCCCTGAGGGATCACTCAACAGTACATAATAAATTCCTGATGAGTTGCTTCAAATACAAGAGAGCTGATCTAGCTTTAAGAGCACTGCTGCAGCCCCTGAGAAGCAGGTTGGGTGGGTGTTTGTATACACACTCTAAATCACTTTCACCCTGAATAGAGCTATTCTTTGATAAATTGGTCTGACATTTGGTGTAAAGTCCTGCAGGCTTTAGACAGAATGATTTAGAAAATAACAATGCGGGTTTCTCCGCTCTTTCAGTAAATAACCCACCAGTAAAATACAGATAATAACTGGCAATTGTACTTGTAGTGTAACTAATGAGAAAAAATAGCACAGTCAATGGACTGCTTATATACATGTGATGAATTACATCCCTCACTACACCCATGAGAAGCAAGCCTGCATATTCCTGGTTGGCTGAATGCAAACAAATATTTACCATGGAGATTAAAGATCTGAGATACAATTTACATTTTATTTTGCAACTGTTTTGCTACTATGTCTACTACATACATTTGAAAAGGCAAAACCTACCTCAACTTCCTGAGTACGAAAGCGTAATGAATGGGAGAAAAAAAATAAAAGAATCATATCAAACAACAAGAAGAAGGAATGTACACATTTTTGATAAATGCATCAGATTTTCAAAACATTATAAAGGTCACAGCCAGCTGTTTTAGGCCACCTACCATCATCCCTTTGCTAAGGCCCATCGCCCACAGAGCCCACGGGAAGGGACGTAGGTAAAAAGGTAATGAGTGGGGGGGGGCGCGTCTCAGTTATCTGTGCACACTGCAGGAGAGCTAGCAGGACTCTGATGAAACCCAGACACAGTTCCCGTCTGTGAGAATGTCAAATGAGTCACTGCCTGCAACAGCAACCCAATCAATAACCGTCCCAAGATAACATCAAAGGGCAGGAATGATAAAGCGTCTGCATTTCTGCAAAAGCACCATTTGCCCTGAAGCTCCAGGGTAGCTGGAGGGGACACAAACCTAGGGCAGTCAGAGATCCTCCATGCTCTTGGGAAGTATGTGAGGTGAGTAGGATGGACTCATCTTCCTCCCCACCTCCCACCCCCTTTCACACACCCCCACGCTCCCAACCACTTCCCTAGTGATCAGGGCAGCCACTGCCAGGGTGAGCGCTCCCTTCTCAGGGATGGACTGTCGCCACTGAGCCAACCTACTGGGGTGGTAAGGTGTTATTGACCCAAACAGGAAAGGGAGGTCTGTGGCTCCATCCCTGAACACGTGTTCTGTGTCTGTTCCTGCGTTCTTCTGCTGACACAAATGATGTAACAGGGCTACGTATGCACTCATGCTGAACCACGGGGTAGAGACCGATGCCACCCATGCCCTTGTCCTTACTAGCAAAGCCGCCAGGTTGCCTGAGGTAATGGAAGGCAGTCTTGTCAATGTCTGAGGAGGAAAGGAATCAGTACCATGGGCTCAAAGGTGGCAGGAGCTAGGGCAGGCCTTGAAGCAAGTGTGGGTGTGAGTTCCTGCTCCAGCAGCCCTCAGCTGAGTGGCCTTGTCTAATACGCTGGCCTCTCAGTCTTTATCCATGAAACAAGCTCACTGGCACCTACCTTAAAGATGCTCTCAGAGCCTTACAAAGACCCCAATGCCTGGCACGGCCGGCATCTGGAAGTAACAAGCAGCAGGCAAGTGCTCTCATGCCCACGCCTAGAGGTTGACATCAGTGAGAAGCCCCAAGGCCAGAGGGATCAATGGGATCCATGGATAACATATGTTTAAAATTTCTATGAAGCAATTTCTGTACATTTGAGTTTTACCAAGTCAGACATGAGTGAAAAGAGACATGATTGTAACAGAAAACAATGACAAAGCACTTTCAATGTGGGCTGTTTTACTAGTCGCTGGTATAAAGAAAGTAATTCAGCGTGACTTGGAAACCTGAGTTGCAGGTCTGCTTCTAAAGACCATGCCCCCACTCTAAGGTTGAGTGACCCGCATCTAGAGAACAGAGCCTGTCTAGCAGAAAGAGACAATATCCTTGACTCTCACCTGTTCTTTGCTTCACAGTTTTCAAACACTAAGGTGAGTCCCTGAGTAAACATGTAAATGTTTCAATTATGATTAGCTGTGTCCTAATAAAGACCCTGGGCTTCAACAGGTAAGTATCTCTATGCGATCCGTAATTTGCATAAAGAAAGATGAATGATCCCTGAACGTATCTGTGCCGCCGGCACACCTAACAAAGTCCTTGCTGTCTTAAAGCGTTAAAACACCATTCCCCAGAGAGCACAAATGATAGATGGTCAGAGACCAGTCTTGTCCAGATATCACAGATTCCAAAATTAATTATGTCCCACTATCTTTCTGACAGTTCCCTACACCTGAGTACGAGGTCTCCATGAACATGCTTCCATTTAAGAACAAGACAGTGTGTACTGGAGAGATGGGTTCAGAGGTTAAGAGCACTGGCTGCTCTTCCAGAGGTCCTGAATTCAATTCCCAGCACCCACCTGGTGGCTTACAACCATCTGTAATGAGATTTGGTGCCCTCTTCTGGCCTACAGTCATATAGAACACTGTATATATAATAAATAAATCTTAAAAAAAAAAAGAACAAGACAGTGTGTATTGAAGAGATGGCCTGGCACTTAACAGCACTTATTGCTCTTGCAAAGGACCCAGGTTTGGTTCTCAGATCTCAAGTGACAGCTCGTAATCTGAAAGAATGCACACATAATCATTCAAGCCAATGCTCACACATATAAAATAAAAATAAGTTGTAAAAAGAGGAAGAAAGAAAACGGCACAATCTGTACACATTACACCATTTCCTCCTCTCCACTAGTCATCTCCGTGTTATATTAATTTCAGGAGGAAATCGCTGTCCCTGGCTACATACAGGGGGAGCCAAAGGACACTGTACTCACTGATTCCTCTCCTACCCTGGAGATGCCGACTAGGGGTCCTGGAGCACTGTGTTCACCAGGATGGCATCCAGCAAGGGTTTCTAAAAGATCATCCTAGCGAGGTGATTGCCATTTAGCCCTCGGTGGGACAAACGAAGCAGGTCATACACTAAATCAATCAGAGCGACAGGTGACTAAGCGGGAAAGTCAGACCCACTATAGATAGCAGGCATACCAGTTACAGAACACTAGAGGTCCTCTTCCCCAGTTTCTAGGACCGCCCCCCCCAACACTCACAGCATGGCGTCTGAGCCTACAGAACCTCTGGCCATGCACTTACTCGGGCAAGAAACCAATAGAAGCTGAGGGGGATCAGTGGAAGGGTGCTTGCCCAGGATGCATGAGGCCATGGCTCATGCCCAAATACTGAGAATAAAGCACCTGCACCCCTTGGCTTCACTTCCTTTCCTCGCGGTATCGATCTTGCGTCCCTCTCAGGCTCACGCGTGGCTCCCGCTTCTGCATCAGCATCACCACTTCCTGGGTCCAGGACACTTTACCCCCCGCGTCACCGCCATGTGCCCTGCCCAGCCTCCCTGCCTCCCACAGCACTGCCAACTCTTCCCCACAGTGCTCCAACAGTGACCCACCTTCCAGAGTAGCTAGGCTGCACCAACACAACTCCCGGGGCCTGGTCCCTGTAGGCTTTCACTAGTTCGCTATGGTCACACTCCAGCCCGCAGCACAAAACCCGCGTGACTTCTGAAGCGCTGCCCGTGCTGTCTACTAGGCCCCTGAAACACAGGCCCCCCTAGCCCCCCTAGATGACTAAGCCCTCACCCCATCAAACTCGCTTTGCACGCGGCTAGCCCCGGAGGCCCACGCTCTTCCTAGCCCTGTGGTACCTGACTGATTTTGCAGCCGGCACTGCAGTGTGGTTGGCTGCTCTTCTGTAACCCTACTACAGAGGTTAGTCCCCTGGGGACTGGGCTGGGTGGCTTCAGTGCGGGACCTTAGTGACAACATGGTGCTTGTGTTTAACACACACGAATGGGCCAACCAAAGCTGGAATGAGTAAATGATGGTCCCACCTCTTCCTGATTCCCCGGATGTGGCCACTCCCCTACTTTTTCCACTTGGGCCGAGGGACTGGAGTGGAGAGCAATGAAACAGACACCTCACTTTGGTGACACCAACTGGGGCAGATACAGGGACCCAGGGAGTGGGGAGGATTTGGAACTTGGGTCAAGGTGTGTAGCATTGGGGTAATCAGTAGCATCCTTACCTCACAGCTAATACCCCCTAAAGCATCTCAGGAACAGGAAGACTTTACAGCCTGTGTAAGCTGAAATCTGGTGTGTGTTGAATGAGACCCATTCCCTATAAGGTTGAACACTGGATCTTTAGCTGATGGTTCCATTTGGGGAGAGTGTGGGGCCTTTAGGAACTGCAGCCTTGACAGGGGAAGTATGTCACTGGGGTGGCAGGTGGGGACAGTTTGAGGATTTATAGGCTGGTACCACTTCCTCCCTCCTGTTTCTATCTCTCTCTATAAACCTTTTTGTCTCTCTAGCATCTCTGCATCTGTCTGTCTATCCATCCATCTCTGTATCTGTCTCTATCATGTCCGTCTAGTCTATCTGTCTCTGTATATGTCTCTATCACTTCTCTCTGTTTCTATCTCCATCATCTCTCTCTAGTCTATGTGTCTATCTCTATCATTTCTCTCTATTTCTATCTCCATCGCCTCTATCTCTCTATTCTTTTCATCTATCTATCTATCTCTCACTATCCCTCCTGTGAGTAGATGAAATGCTTCCCCACCAGGATGGATTCTCTCCTTCTGACACGATAAGCTAAAATAAATAGGTCCTTTCTTTTCCACTTGGCTTTGGTCATGGTTATTTTTATCACAGCAACATAAAAATCCAATGAGTGGTTTAAGAGTCAAGTCTTGGGCCAAAATGAAGTGTATATAAAAAAGTTTAGATAAAATTTTTAAACAGAAACTGTGACAATGATGACACCAGTGATGGCCACCATGTCTGAGTGGTCCAGTCCTTACCAGACCAGACGCTGGTTTGACCCTTACAATAACTATCTGAGACGGCACAATAAACAGCCAGCCCCATGTCACAGGTACAGACACTGCAGTTTGGAAGGAGGCTATTACTATCGAAGGCCACCTAGCTAGTGGGAAGGAGAAACAGGACTTGAACTCAGTAGTCACTTGACTTAAAGCTCATGTTCTCAGCACAACACAGCCTCCTCCTTCAGTGGCACCATGTAAGGACTGTAAAGACTAGAGGCACTGGTGAGGGGCACGGGCGTGTCTGCTCTGTGGACATGAGCACACAGACCAGATGCTTCCTAGAGTAAAGTAGAAAACAACAATCTATGCCTCACTACGTCTTTGAGGGACCAGATAGCAACACGACCTGTTAATCCGACCCCAGTAAGGTGGGCAGCAAGCCCCAGAGTGCTGAACTCCAGTGTGCCCTTCCTGGACATAACAATGGCCTCCAGAGCCAAGAACAGCTTCAAGAGTCAGCAAGGATGAGATAACAGAAATATCCTGCACCTAGGAGCCCTATGAGATGACACCTGCCCGCCATCAGCCTACCCAGAAGCCCCACTCAAAATGATGCAGCCCAGG